AACATCAGCTCTGGGAGGGGCTCTGGACCCAGTCGACCCTCCTGTCCTTACATCCGACTCGCCCCAAGACACGGGGCCTTAGGAAAGGACAGGCAGTGTGAGGTCTCTTACTACTAGCCCAAGCCAAACAATAAGACAAAACGCTTTGGTTTTTAACCCTTCCCGGGGCCAATCTGAGATACGCTGGGCGTAGTTCCCTGCCTTGCTAAACAAAATGTATTAAGTAAAACCATCATGGCTTTTGAGGATTCACTTTCATCCACGTCCTGGGTACACAGCCGGCTCCAAGCAGAGCCCAGAGGGGCGAGGAAGTCATGCCGACAGCAGAGCGGGAAGGCCCGGGGTCTTTAAACACACTCAGCCCGCACAGGCCAAATGCAGGAATATTCTTCACGTCCACAGATGAGTTGGTTCTACCCCGTTTTTCTTGAAAAATATTCAGTTTCCGATCTTAACGCTGCTTTCCCCACTTGTGACGGGGATTTGAGTTCAAGACACATTGTACCACTCTTTTAACTCTACCAAAGACAAAAGGGGAAGCTGCTCAGGTGAGGACCGGGTCCCAGCCCTGGCGCCCACAGCACTCCGTTGCTGTAACAGCCTGCACTCACCGAGCACTTTCTGTGTATCAGGCACCGTGCCGACCCCTCGCCACGCAGTATGTCATCCAACCCTCCGCATAGCCGTTGGAAACAGCCACTGATGGTCTGCCTGTTTCAGGGTAGAAGAACTGAGACGCAGAAGGTTGAAGCAACGTGTGCCCATGCACTCGGCCAGTTGGTGACGGCACGGAATCCGGAACGAGGCTGTTTGCGCCCAGGGCCTAAACAAGGCTGCTGACCAGTGAGGACCAGCAAGTCTCTCCTATCGAAGAGAGGAAGAGTCTGGTCCCCCCAGGTGGGGCCCAGCAGGGGACACAGAGAGGTGACGTCAAGCCACAGAACGGCTCCCAGTCGCCACCGTGGGCTGGCTCTGCTGTTGGATGTCTCCCGACTCTTCAGAGCCTTTGGGACGCGCCCGATGTGGGCACTCCTGCCTCTCGGGCTCCCAAGTTTGCTCATCCTTCCTGGGACGGGAGCAGACGTGGTTTGGGGAGCTCCAGATGGGGCGGCAGATGGGAAGTGAAAACCTATCAGAGATGCCCGGGATAAAACCACTCATCTGCAAAATTCATATGTTTTGTGTGGGGCGACTTCATGGAAACAAACAGGACGAGGAACCAGCAGAGCTTGATGCATGACGCGCCTGTGGCCATGGGCCTGGCAACCCAGGGTGGGCAGAACCGGGGAGGGGGTGGCGCCACGGAAACGAGAGCAGGAGGGAGAGGGAGAGACGGAGTGAACCGGAGCATCAAGACAAAAACCGCTGGGTACAGATGACTCCCTTCCCTGAACCCCAAAATAGCTTGGGCACACGGTCTAAGAAGGGATTTCTGAGACATGAGATGCAACCTGGGCTGCAGCTTAGACATAAACAGCTGACACTTACTGAGCACCTTCCAAGTGCCCGACAGGCTGCTGGGTTCTATTATTATGCTCCAATTTCACAGAGACTGGATTTGCTGCCCGCCCTGGTGGCACGGCTAGCTAAGTGGCGGCACTGAGGTTCGAACCCTAAGCAGTCTGAGGGAGTCTGTGGACTCAGCCTCTTGGATGCTGGGCAGAGCTGGCCTCTTCAGGTTAAGTGGCCACAGGTATGGGGCTTCGACTTACAAATCGACCCAACACAGGGCCTCTCGGGGGTGCTGATAGGCACAGCTACCTGGCCTCAAGAGGTCTCTGTCCCAACACTGTCCCCTGACCTGGGTTGACATGGCCTCTGAGGCTCCCTCACTGCGAGTGTAGACAAGGAAGACTGTGGAAGCCTTGAGCACAGCTCCTCAGACTTGGGGACAAGTGGCCTCCAAGTACCTTCCCCCTCGGCATTCCCTGCAGCAAGCGGGACTAACTACTACCCCACCCAGCCACAAGCTCAAGACACGGGACTGTTTCCTCCTGTGCTTTCTGGGCAGCCCGGGGCCATCTCGCCGGTCTGGGCCTGCCGACAGCCCAAGAGGCCAACCTCAAGCAGAAAGAAGACCAACTTTGGAACCACACAGAACTGGTTCCAATCCCTGCTCTGCCAGGGACTCATCCCACGACCTTGGGCCTCAGTGTGCCCATCTGTAAAACAGGTTTGCTGCGAGGATGGAAGGAAGCACCTGCCACGTTAGCTGCTGTGCTCGGCATGCGGGGACGTCTCTGAAGTCAGCCCTTTCCAGGACGATGGAGTGAGAATGTTCTAACCTCTTCTCGCTCTCTACTTGTCTAAACTCACCTGCTCTCATGCTTTTATTATACTCTGTGCATTTTTAAAATTTCACAAACGCAACATGTTCATTTCTGACCCACACTGCGCAGGTCCCTCTATGAGGAATGGCAGTTCTCACATAGAGGCGATTTTGGCCCCCAGGGGAACATCGGGCAGTGTCTGGTGACATTTGTGGCTGGCACAAGTGGATGACAGGGGGTGCCCTGGCACCTGGTGGGCAGAGGCCAGAGATGCTGCTAAACATCCCACAACGCATGGGAGAATGGCCCACAGCCAGGAGATATCTATCCCCAAATATCAATAGTGCCATGGCTGGTAAACCCTGATCTAGAATGATCTTCTCTTTCTGGCTTTCCCTGCAAATGGGTCCCTTCTTTCTTTCAGGTCTCAAAACAGAATATTCAGAGGCCTTTCTGATCCCCGCCCATGCCCCTCCTGTTTTTCTCCACTCCCACACCTTCCTTTATTTATAGCCCTCTCACTTCCTGCATGCTGGCTCTCTTGCACGATTATCTAATTGCATCCTCTCAACTCCGACACGTGCTCCCCGAGCAGGGGAGAGGTAGAAGCAGCTGCATTGCTTTTGTTCATGAAATGCACTATTTGGTACACAGCACAGTAGTTGCTCAATAAATGTTTGTTGGATGAGTGAACAAATCATGGTAAGCGTTAATAAAAATCTGCCAGCAATGTTCTATAACCAATCCCTTTTATCCCTGCTCTTCTATGAACAAAAGAAAACAGGTGTCTTTCTAGCACCCGACATTTTTCCTCAGGTTCAAGGGCGTCAGTCGTATCTTGTCCAAACCGACCAGAGATTGCCCCTCCCTGCCCCACCACAGGGTCCAGGGTCTCTCAGCAGAGGACGGGATGCCCCTGAGCCCGGGGCTGACGTCAGGGGCCAAAGACCATGCTGTGAAGGAGAAGGAAGCCATTTCTGGCTTTACAGAGAGGCCTTCCTCCCATGCCTCCGTCCCAAACCCAAATTCTTGGGAATATGCCACCTGGGTATTTGATGACATTAAGGAATGCCTGTTAATATTTTTGGTGTAATCATCATATTGATGTTACGGTAAAAGAGAGAGACTTTATCTTTTTGAGATATATGTTGAAATATTTCAATATATATAAGACTACATATTATTTTTACATACATATGAGACATAACTATAGGGCATCTTAGATTTGTTTCAAAATAAAGCAGGGGTGGGGGAAGAGGGTGAATGTCCGGATACAAGACTGGTCCTGAACTGACCCAAACAAGGGCTCACCGTGCTATTCTTGATATTCCTATGCACGACTGGAAACAGCCCTAATAAAAGTTTACTTCTTAAAGAAGCCGTCATCTAGCTCTCCTGGGAATGCTGTCCCCAACGCTCTTGTGCCATCGCCTCCGCCCCCACCCACTGCCTTTTTCCCCTTGTCAACAAATCAGGACGATGACACAGTCACAGTCAGGGCTGCCCTCCCCGTGGGAAACAGGGTTCAGTTTCTTTCTCTTTTATTTTTCTTACAGGATGGATCTTTAGGGGCTTTTCTTTGCTATGGTCTGTTTTAAAGAGCTGAAACTCAATGTCCGCGCAAAGGGACAGGCCTTCCCGGTGGTGTGTGAAGGCTGCCATCGCTTGTGTTTCCTGCCACTCTGGGGCCACTGGCTGCGCCGCCAGCTCCAGACCAGGGTGACGGGGCAGGCAAAGGACCAGGCAGGCGGGCCTTGCAAAGCAGCTAGAAATCTGTCGTTTCATACGCACGCAACCAGTTATAAAATGTGGGCAACTGACTCATTTGTTAGACTGTGGAAAGGGCCAAACAGACACGCCCAAGGGACTCGCACGCCGTGAATACGCCCGTTTGTGATGCTGCCCGCACCGTCACCAAGGCGCCCTCCCTTCTTCCTCTGCGCCCCCTTCCAGCTGAGCACTGAAGCCAGACATGGTCCTTCCTCTGCTCAAAACGTGCCAGTGGCTTCCACCGTGCTCGGAGTAGCAGCCAAATTCTAGGATCTCCGTGACCCAGCCCCAGTGTACTCTCTGACCTTATGTCTCTTGTTTCTCTGTAGGCAAAGAAAGTGACTCACTCTTTCATCATCTTCTAGTCTCATCTGTGAGGACCTTCCTGGCCACCCTTGTCAAAACAGTTATAACAACTCTCTCCTACTTCTGCCCTTTGCTTTATTTTTACAACACACCATTGTACTTATTTAGGTTGTTGTTTGTCTCCCTTCCCTTTTTTTTTTATTTTAGAGATGGGGTCTTGCTATGTTGCCCAGGCTGGTCTCGCACTTCTGGCCTCCAGTGATTCTCCCACCTAAGCCTCCCAAAGTGCTGGGATTATAGGTGTGAGCCACCGTGCCTGGCCTGACTCCCTACTTGAACGGAAGCCCCACGCTGGTAGGGGTTTCAGTCTCTTTAGTGCACTGGAACAACCTTGAACAGAACTAGGAAAACAATGTGCTCGATAAATCTCTGCTGAATGAATGAATGAATGAATGCACAAATGATTCTCAGGTCCAATCTGAATCCTATGCTGAGAGATCTTATGGAGACTGTGCAAGAGCTCTCTGAGGGATCTCAAGGAAGCAGAAAGCATCTCTGGATAGGAAGCAGACGCCTCTGCCTCCTGTTTTCCCAGCTACAATGAAGGGCAGCGGGACCTCACGCTGGGCTGCCTGGGGCGACCGGGCGCCTTACCTGATGGGGTAGTCGGCTGCACTGAGGTTGATGAAGAAGTCCCAGGGCCAGTCGGTCATCTCCAGGAGGTCCCGCATGCTCTGCAGGTAGGTGGACAGGAGGCTGGCTCCCCCCCAGATGGTGGCCATCCTCCAGGGGGTGACGCGGACGTTGCCGTACTGCCTGGCGAACTGGAGCACTTGCCGATGCAGGTAATTAGAGCGCTTGGCCCGGGAGAGAAAGGGTGACATTCAGCAGCCCAGAAAACACCCAGACACGCCCCCACTCCCTTCTCTTCTAGTCGACAGTACTTCTGAGCAGAGTGAACTTTGCCGAGAAACTGATTCTGGCCTAGGGTGTCTCTCTGCATTGCTACTCAAACTTGTATGATTTTAAAAGTTTTACATTAGATGTTGGAAAGGCACATTCCCGGGACCCACCTCTGAACTAAGGGTTCCCTAGGCTTGGGCTGGTGCTGCCTGGGACTCTGCATTTTCATATATGACAGCTTCACGTGGCCTGAGGAGAACAAGCTAAGAAACAGAGCTCTGCCTAAACCTGGTATGCATGTTGGGGGTGGAGTTTCTGTTCTGGGTCAGACCTTTCGCATAAAACATCCCCTTTGCCTTCTTGGCTAAAGACATAATCGTGTCACATCAGCCAACCAACAGAAACCTCTGGGACAGATAGCATAGGAGTTAGCAAGGCTGCCGCAGGTTTTGCTAATAAAGTTTTATAGGCACACAGTCACGCCCATTTGATGACATGGCCTCTGTGGCTGCTTTTGTATATAAGGGCAGTGCTGAGTAGCTGCGACAGGCAGCGTATGGTCAGCAAAACCTAAAACCTTTACTCTCTGGCCTTTTATAGAAAAAGTGTGCCAGCTTCTGGGGTGGGTATTCCCACAGAGTACGCGTGAGTGCCAGGCAGAAGGCACCGGGCAGCGAAGAGGTGAGAAAAACAGTGTTTATGGAGAAAGTTGAATGTCACAGCTGGGAACTTTGAAACCAACACACACACACACACACACACACACACACACACACACACAAACACACATGCACACACACATGCAAAGGAATAGACACACTCACACATATACACACATCCACGCACACATATACATGCACACATATACATACATGCACGCACACGCACGCACACACGTGCACGCACACACACATATACACACAGGCACGCACACACATGCATACATGCACACATGCACATGCACACACAGCAGCTCAAGACCACACACTCCCAGCAAAGGCAGCTGGGCATCTTCTGCACCTTCTCTGAAAGGGAGGCACTGGAGCAGGGATGGAGGAGGAGGAGGGTGTTGGAGAGGGAAAGATAGGCCTGGGAGGACGCCTAGAGGGGCAATCAGAGCAGGCACCTCACCTTGTCCACGTGGATGTAGTAGAAGTGGTCCTTGTGGTAGATGGCCTTGAACATGCGCTGCAGCTGCCGAGAGGCACGGCCGTGGACCACCAGGACGAAGGCGATTCTGACCGGGTTGGCCGGCATGTATTCCACGGAGTCCTCGTCCCACTGGACGTTCTTGTTGGCTTTGCCTGCGGGGAAACCCGAGAGACCACAGAGGTGAGGGTGAGCCATTCTTTGGAGAGTGGGATGTTTCTCTGATGTTTTTTTTTCTTTTCTTTTCAGATTGGGCCTTGCTCTGCCACCTGGGCTAGAGTGCGGTGGCATCATCATAACTCACTGCAACCTCCAAATCCTGAATTCAAGCAATCTTCCTGCCTCAGCCTCCCGAGGAGCGGGACTACAGGCATGTGCTGCTTTGCCCAGTTAATTTTTTCTATTTTTTGTAGCGACAGGGTCTCACCATGTTGCTGAGGCTGGTCTTGAACTACTGGCCTTAAGTGATCCTCCCACCTCGGCCTCCCAAAGGATTACAGGTGTGAGCCACAATACCCACCCTCTGATGCTTTCTCTGGAACTATTTATGAGGTGTGGCTGTCATATTGGGCCCTGAAACTTGATTACACATAACCAAGCATGTCCTAGAAGCCCTCACACTGCCCGGGCACAAAAGGGCCACTGGGGTGCTTTTAGCGTCCACTCCCCAAAAGCTTAAAAAGGCTGGTGGAGACATACGAACATATATTAAACTATCCAGAAGGCAGGAGGGGGTGAGAGCTATGAGAATGTATCTTCAAACCACAGAGGAAGAAGCAGTTTGTTCTAAGTTAGGAAATACAAGATACATGTGCCGTTTTTGCCGGTCCACAATCCATTCTCACTTCTTCTCCTAACAGCTTCTGACATATTAGTTTGTTTGAGCTGTGGTAAGAACAGATAACACGAGATCTACCCTCTAAACCGAGCTGTAAGCGCACAGGACAGTACTGTCACCTACAAGCACAACCTCGAACAGCAGATCTCTGGAACTTACTCATCTACGGAACTGAAACGCTACCATCTGGTACCTTTTGAGGCATCACCTCCTTCTCCTCCACTTCCAGCCCAGTGGATGTGGAGAATCTAACTCCACATCTATTCCAAGGGTGGTCACACAGCTTAGGTGTGGCCCGTCAGAACACCGTCCCTCCCTGGCCACAGTATTGTTCAGTGACGGACATGTGACCCAACCAAGCTAGTTAGCCAAAAAGAACTGCAGACTTGCGCTGTAACTACTAGATAAGAGAGGTTCTCTTTCTGTTTGACACAAGACTGGAAGATTCTAAGAGCCTTTCTGTTCCCAGGGAAGGAGGGCCGCCTGGGAGGAAAACCAACACCGAGGGCAGCACTGCCGAGTGGCGGTGCGGGTCCAGCCCCTGGGCCGCCCAGGCTGGCTGGAGATGAGCCACCGTCACATATTATTTTCCAGAAATAATATGCAGCTAGACCCTGCACCAAACGTGCCGGGATAACTGGTTCCAGGCATCTTTTATCCTGAAATCAGCCTCCAAGACTCCTCTCTTTTGCCCTTGCAGATACTCCAGGGGCAAGGCACGGGGGAGAAACACAGCTTCCTGGTTTGGGCCATCACAATTCCAGCTAGAATTCTCCTGGCTTTCCTTGGCCTGACTTCCTTTGGGTCTAACCTGATTTCTTACGGGTTCTAGGTTTACGGGACCCAGAACATCGTCAGGCTTGTAGCGGCAGGGGTCCCAGATCGTCCACGGGGACAGTTGAGAACTGAGCCGCCTGTGTGGCCTGGACCTCAGGGGTCTGTCACCTGTCCTGAGCAGGCTGCACGGCTGCCCAGCGCACAAGGCTCCCTCCACGCTGTGCCAGAGGACAGGGCGAGATTAACGTGCGTAGTGTCCAAATCTACCACACAGCCTCCGTGATGGGACGCCTCAGACCTCTCTGCCCCAGACTGGCCCCCTCTCCGCCTCGACCCTGGCCTTCTTTCTGTTCCTTGAACAAGCTCATTTCTGCCCCGGGCCCTTCCACTGGCTGTTCCTGCAGCCCGTCACACCCTCCGCCCAGATCTCAGCATGGCCTCGACGTTCTGTCACTAGTTGACAGTCCAAGCAAAGGCCTCCTGCCCCTCACCCACCACATCTTTCGGTCTCTTTCACCTGGCCCTATTTCAATTTAACACTGTCTAAAATTGTGTTCGTCGTCTGAACGCTCCACGACAATATAAGCTCCAAGAGATGAGGGGCTGCTTCAGGCTTGTCATCAAACACGCAACACTTGAACAGTATCCGGCACACATCTGACTCTTGCTGGGAAAACAAAGTCGCGGGATTGTACGTTTGGGCTCAGTACGAGGACAATACCTTTTACTGAGCATGGGCATGGATCGGCCCTTGACATTCGTCATGTCATTTAATCCCTACAATGATGCCGCGAGGCAGTGCCATTGCCCCCACTTTCCAAATGTGGAAACCACAGCTTAGAGAGCTCAAGGGATCGGTTCAAGGTCACACCATTTTAATTAGCTAAGCTGAGATCCAAGCCAGGTCTGAGTCCAAAGAGCATATTCCATAACCACGAATATATACTACATTATCATACCCAGAGCTTGGAGGGAGAAGTTTATAACAGTTACGCTTGCTGCTAATGAAATATCGTAAAAGTTAGTTACTATAGGCAAGCAGGCAGGCATATAAGGACTGCCAGAGGTACTGGAGGTATATTTCTGTATTGCACGAGAGGCTGACTCTAGGTGATCAATAAGGCTACATCTGTACAACCAACCATCCGTCCATTTGTCCATCCATCCGTTCATCCAAATCCGACCACTCATCCATCCAAACGTACAGCAAACCACCCAACTACCCATCGAGCAGAGCAGGCGGCAACCCACCATCCCAGATGCCATCATCCATCCACTCACGGCTTATGGGGCCTTCGGGATCAACCTTGCTTTTGCCTCTAGCCATGAGTGTCTCCCGCCACGGTTGTGGAGTGAGTGCATGAACGAATGCGTTCTGAAGAAGAGTGGCTGCCCTGGCCCAGAGGAGCTGATGTTTGCTGAGCACCTGCCATGTATCTATGCTGTGGATGCGCTGGGCTCTGCATCCGTCCTTATTCGGCCCTGGGAAGAATGCATCATACCCTGAGGCTCAGAGAGGTCGGCACGTCTCCCAAGGCACACAGTAAGGGAGGACAGGGGTGGGAGGGGACACCAAGCATTGCCGAGTCCAAACTAGCCGTGCTATTTCCACCCTCCCTCTGCCAAAGCAAAGAGTCGGGAGATAAACAGGGTTGGTATGAAGACTCCACGCTGACCTTTAAAAGGCACTTGGACGTTGACATTGAGAAAAGCCTCTTGCAATTTCTCTTCAGGGTGTTAGAAAGCTGCATGGATTTACAGACAGACAGACAGGGACATGGAGGCTTTCCTTTTGGAGAAAGGGAGGGAGTCCTAGGAAATCACTCCAGCAAAAGAGCTTGCTCGGCTTAAATATAAAGTCATCCTTGGGTCAGACCGTGATAGTCTGGGGAGCTGCAAAGAGAAGTGGGGAACAAAGAACCCAGAGTTCTTCTGGAGGACAGCTATTTTGAGGATGGGGTGGGTGGGAAGGAACAAAACTACCTAAAAGAAAGGAGACACACAGAGGGGGAGAGATGGAGATGGGGAGGAGAGGGTGGGAGGGGGGAGAAAGATCAGCCTGCTGTGTGGCACGCGATTTCTGTGCACGATCTTATTTACTTCCGTCCGAACCTCGGTGAGAAGGGAGCTATTATCTCCCTATTGTAAGGATGAGGACGCAGAGGCTCAGAGAGGTCCCCGTGAAGAAGCGGCTGAGCTGAGAATGGATGAGTCTGTGACCCCAGAGCACTGCCATTGTCACTTCGCTCCATCAGACCATCCCCATTTCATGAAGAGGAAAGTCTGGTCCTAGACGAGTGTCAGCTGACTTTCAGCGGCAGGACAAATGGCAATGACGTGGGGCCAGAGCTGCGTGGGTCTTTACGGACATGGAGCCCTGTGAAAGACCAAAACTCAAACACTGCCTAGCTCCTGTATATATATACACACATATATATATATGTGTGTGTGTGTGTATATATATGTGTGTGTGTGTATATATACCTATGAATTTAACAATATAATCAGATTCCCACGGCACAAAACACAAAATAAGTGGAAAAATCAGAGTGATTACAGGCAGCAGGAGAGGCTGACTTCAGATGAATGTTAAAAAGCCAGCTTTATGGGGGAGAATACCAAGTGCATTTTCGCAGTGCAGGTGTGAAGGTTGCGGGGGGAGGGGGGCGCCATGGAGGGCCCCACCGCTAACTAGCCGTGCCACGCCAACCCTGTTGCTCAAACCCCCTGGCTCCAAAGAGATAGCAGAGGTGATGGTGCTTTGCAAGTGTCAATGCGCTGTGCAAATGTCGTGATAATTGGTGACGATTATGGGCGTGGTGCCTTGCAGGGATATGATCTGGGAGGAGAATGCAAGGTGCAGAGGTTTAGAGTGAAGCCTGTGGTCGGGCAGATCCTGGACCGGATATGCAATCTCTCCAAGCCTTAGTTTTCTCATTTGTAAAATGGGTATGTCCAAAAACAGAAGCTTTCTCACACGGGTATTCACGGGCATTACTGAGCACAGCGCCTGGCCTGTAGTAAATGCTCAATAAACCTGACCATCGTCATCACCATTCTTATTAAACTGTTTATCCCCAGTGATCAGGATCAAGTTTGGTTTCAACAACTGGTCCAGCTCCAGATTTCCACCCCGAGGCTGCACCGGCTCCCAGGGCCATGTACACGCTGGAACCTGCTGCCTGCAAATAAACACCCACAACCGGAATTTCTCTCTGCAGCATTCGCCCAGACCACAATTAATAACAAATGCAAAGGAGCTGCTCGACTGGAATAGTTATTCCACCAACAAAGCCCTCGCTTCTATTTATACTCTGAAAGGGCCTCTTCCGGCCGCTCCAAGGGCACTTTCTGACTTGCTTCCAAATTAGAGGGTTGGTTGGGTCTTGGGAACAGAGAGAAGTGGAAACGAGGTTGTATGCAAATGGTGCGGGGGTTAGGAAGCTCCCAGCTGGGGTGCCACCAGTTCCCTGCTGCCCAGCACGGCGCGGGTGCTGGGATTCAGAGCTGGGGGCTAGAGGTGGCCCTCCACTGCAGGGA